TGGCATTGCTTCCGTGGAATTTCCTGGCATCTTCTCAGAGCAGGGTCAGCACCTCACGGCTTGCCTAACTCCGGGTTTTCCCCATTGTCAGTTTTCCTCAAATCCCACAGCGGCCCCACACCCACTGGTACTGAGCATCTCGGCAGAAACGCCCTTCCCTGTCCCAAGTGACACCCCTCCGTGGCTTCCTTTGTCCCCCAAGTTCTCTCTCGGGACCCCCTCCTCCCTCAGCCATGGCTCAGTGTCTCTCAACAATGACAAGGAGAATCCAAGCACATGCCACTCACTGTGGTTCTCCCCGAGCGTTCTAGATGCCCGGTGGTTTCTGCTGCTGTGGATGAGCCGCTGCATGGGAGCGCCGGGCCCTGGGGTCCAGACATAGAGCTACCACAGGACCCTTTCTCCTCCGCTGCTGGCTGTTACCTGCTCAGAAGAGCCCTCTTGCCACCCCACCTAGTATCACTGGGGAGCAGTGACAACTCAGTTCCCTTATCTAGGGCAGCCAGCCGGACGCCTGTCTAAAGGCCACAGGGAAATCAAAGGCGGGGTCCGCGGGGGGGGGGGGGGGGGGGGGGGGACCGGGAGGAGAAAACAACTTCCTGGTTTGGCTCAAAGGCTTGAGAAACACTCTAGGGGTCTGGAGGAGCTTTCAAGCTGCTTTATTTGGGTTACTCCCTGAGACCGGGCACTTGTGGTGTAGACGTAGACCTACCAAGGGCTAAAAGTGGCTTCTCTTGCCCCTCAAGGTCAGGACCGTCTGCTCAGAAGAAAGCCGGTCTCCCAGCTGCCCCCAGGCCATTCCCACAGCAGCTCAGATGGTGGGTCAAGAGGCTGTGCCCTGCCCCCCTGGAACTCGGTCAAGTGGTAAGTCATCCAGTGACGTTCCTGTTGGTGCTTGGGGATGGTTTCACTTTTGCAAACCTTTGTTTCTCTCCTTGGAGAGAAGGACTCAGTCATCAGCCCAGCCGGTCGCAGGAAGCTCCTTCACAGGGTGAGCAGGCTTTTTGCACACGTAGAAATTAGGACTGGGACCGACTTCGAGGAAACTAGACCACAGTTCTCGGCTCTCTTCAGAGCTCTGTTTTCTCAGATGGTGTCTTCAGACAGGCAAGTCTTGTTTCCACCAGGAGAGCTGAAGTTCTCTGAAGACGTGGAAGGCTTCCTTTTATTCCCCCGGGGTGTCAGCACCGGTTTCAGTCTCCTGAGATGTAGACCTACTGTGGGTACAAGGAAGCACCAGGAGAGGGTAAGCATGGCTGCGTGGATGCTAATCCAATTTTTTTTTTCCCCCTGCAGGACCACCCAGCTGTATGAAGGGAAGATAATCCTTCACTTCTCCACAGGGCAGGCTGACAATGGCCAATTACACGTTGGCCCCGGAGGATAACTATGACGTCCTCATAGAGGGGGACCTGAATGACGACGAAATAGAAACGTGCCACCCATACGACGCCAAGGTTCTCTTGAGCCGGGTGGTCCCCAAGGTCTTCATCCCTGTGCTCCTGGCTGGACTGCTGGGCAATGTCTTGACTGTGCTCATCCTGGCGAAGCACAAAGGACTCAGGCGCACGGAAAATGTCTATTTCCTAAACCTAGCAGTTTCGAATTTATGTTTCTTGTTCTCCTTGCCTCTCTGGGCCTACACCGCGTCCCATGGGGGCGTTCTGGGCAGCCCCGTGTGTAAAACTCTCGTCGTGTTTTCCTCCATAGGCCTGTACAGTGAGGCTTTTTTCAACGTCCTTCTGACCGTGCAAAGGTACCTGGTGTCTTGCAACATGAGAAGGTTTCCCCCGACCAGGACGGTGCGCTGGAACATCGCCTCGACCGTTCTGGCGTGGGGCCTGGCCACGCTGGTCGTTTTGCCTGAATCCGTGTTTTACACACCTCAGACGGAGAGCCAGAAATACGAGTGCTTTGTTAGCAGCCCTCCCTTCCTGCCAGCTGAGGAGACTTTCTGGAAGCATTTTCTGACCCTGAAGATGAACATCCTGGGCCTTCTTTTCCCACTGTGCGTTCTCACGTTTTGCTACACGCGTTTGCGAAAAACGCTGAGCTTTAGGGGGAGGAGGTATGACCCTCACAAGCTCGTGTTTGCCGTAGTGGTTGTTTTCCTTCTGATGTGGGGCCCCTACAATATCGCACTTTTCCTGTCCGCGTTCAGAGAACGTTTCTCCCTGCACGACTGTCAGAGCAGCTACCACCTGGACAGAAGCGTTCAGATCGTGAGGATCGTCGCCGCCACCCACTGCTGCGTCAACCCCGTGCTCCACGCGGTCCTCGACACCACGTTCCGAAGACACCTCTGCCGCCTGTGCTGTCTGCGGGGTGACAGTCCGCTTCGGGGCGCTGAGGGCTCCGCACAAGACGCGTCAGTGGAGGAACATGACGATTCCACCAGAGTGTAAACAGGCTTCTGTCAACGGCGGGATAAATAAACATCGGGTTTTGTATTGCTGCATCGTGTGTGTATTTATTTTTACACATCTGTGTCCAAAACAGGATACGAGAAGAGGGGCGCCTGGGTGGCTCAGTCGGTTAAGCGTCAGATTCTTGAGCTCAGGGCACGAGCTCATGGTTCGTGGGTTCGAGCCCCTCATCGGGCTCTGCCCTGCCAGTGCCAGACGTGCCTGGGATCCTCTCTCTCTCCTTCTCTCTCTGCCCCTCCCGTGTGCTCTCTCTCTCTCGCTCTCTCTCAAAATAAATAAAAAATAAACTTAAAAATATTTTTAAAAATAGGATATGAGAAGACAAGTGGGGAGCACTGAATTTGTCTTAGGTGTCGTGCGAGGCAGGCCCTTGGCAAACGTGAGCTCCTCCGCGGCTCAGTGCTTGTCCGTGGGTGTAGACGGCATTTGTCTCATTTCGCCAAGGAGGAAACTAAGGCTCAGAAATTGGTCTCGGCTCACACAGCTAGAAAGTGGCAAGGCTGGGACCCAAATATGACTGCCACTTATTGCAGAATCTATGCTTTGTCCAGCGCCCCAAACTTCCAAACACCGGGCAAGAAAACACGTGAAATAAATATGTGCTCTTACAAACAGACCACATTCCAAATTAAAAGCAACCTGCTCATATAAAAGCAATTGTTCAGGCACATTTTCTTGCAGGTAATTAAAAGAACTGGCCAGCTGAAGCTATGGGTAAAGAGGTAAGAGCGACCTGGTCTGTGGAATTCACTAGGTTTTCGTGCTACATGAATAGCCTGCACAAAGTAACTACAGGCAAGAATATTTTCAAGGAAGTTGAGAGAACACTAATTCAGTACAATCTGAAGTGCGATCTGCCAATACGTGTTATAAGCGATGGGAGTTCAAGTCTCCGTTGAGCAGGAAAAGGCTCAGTTGGCCAAATTTACAAAATCTGTAAAAATGGTAAAGTCAATGGTCATTCGCTACTGGTACTCTGTGGGAAATAATTGGAATTTAAGATGTGAATTAAACCAGCAGTCTCAACAGTGAGGTTCATTGGCTGCCATGGGCTTACCTATCCTTAATTCTGTGGATTTTTTTTTTTTTTTCAGAAATAAAAATTTCATATCGTGACTCACCCTACCACACAGCAGTTTTGTGGCTTAGCAGTGGCAGATTGCGTTCAGGGCCACAACGGAAATTTTTCTGAACAAGAAGGATGGTCCGTATCTACTTTATAGAACATGGAATGGCTTTGAAAACTAAATTTCTCTGCCGAATTCACTATGTTTCTTAATAAACTCAACCTGACGTTACGAGGCAAAATAGCACTTACATATGAAGCATACACTGTAGTAAAGTCACTTGACAACTAATGTTTGAATCACAAGAAATGTCAAGACACTTTATATACTTCGCATGTGCTATCAAAGTTAAGTCAAAGATAGAGGAGGACCTAGAAAGTGTTATGCTAAGTGAAATAAGTCAGACTCAAGACAAATGTTATAGGACCTCACTCATAGGTAGAATCTAAAAATCAAAACAGGGGCACCTGGGTGGCTCAGTTGGTTGAGTGCCCAACTCTTGCTTTCGGCTCAGGTCATGATCTTGAGGTTTGCGAGTTTGAGCCCTGCGTCGGGCTCACTGCCGTCAGCTCAGAGCCTGCGGCCTGCTTTGGATCCTCTGTCCCCCTCTCTCTCCCGTGCTTGCGCTCTCCCTCTCTCAAAAATAAATATTTTTTAAAAACGTCTTAAAGGTTTTCACCTTTCCCTATGACCCTTGTAGTTGTCCGTTCACTGTACCTGATGCAATTTATTTAAAATACCAAGTACTGGGGCGCCTGGGTGGCGCAGTCGGTTAAGTGGCCGACTTCAGCCAGGTCACGATCTCGCGGTCCGGGAGTTCGAGCCCCGCGTCGGGCTCTGGGCTGATGGCTCAGAGCCTGGAGCCTGTTTCCGATTCTGTGTCTCCCCCTCTCTCTGCCCCTCCCCCGTTCATGCTCTGTCTCTCTCTGTCCCAAAAATAAATAAACGTTGAAAAAAATAAATAAATAAAAAATAAAAAAAATAAAATAAAATACCAAGTACTCAAAAATCTTTGTGACACCCGGTTTTTCTCACCAGTCCTACTCCCTATTCCCTCGCTCTGCCCTAGAAACACATGCACACTCAAACGCACACCCACACACAGGTACAAGCGCACACACAGACACATGCACACATGCACACACGAGCACACGCACACACATGGCACCGATCATGTGAACGACCAGCCAGATGCCCCTGAGAAAGCCAGCTGCCGGGCCTGTCCTTTGGCTCCAGACCAGCAGGCCCCGAACCCAAAACTCCAGGCGCTGAACCTGGAAAACACAAGCGAGGACAGGCCCAGCTGTGCTCATATTCGATCAGACACAGGAGTTCAGTATAAAATTCTAGAGAAGATGAAAGGACGCCTTCTAAGGGATGACAACCGACAGCCTTTCTCATTTCCTTTATTGCCGGGATGACCGCTGAGGGCCGCGAAAGCAGGTGACTGGCTGGGAAGGGGGACAGCCCAGCGCCCCAGGCGGGGCTGAGAGCGGGGCGGGCCTGGGGTGCCGCAGGAGGGGAGGCCACGGAGTCTGCGGGTGGGTTTACCTCCTCAGGAAGGCGCAGGCTTCCAGAAGCGCTGTGGGACACACCAAAGCAGAAGAGTCAGTAACTGATTTCTTTTAATCAATAGATCAATCAAGGAGGGCACTAAGAAACAGACCCTCCCCTGCCTTCGGCGGTGCCAGCTCACTTATCTCCCTGTGCCTTCCTCCTCACGCCAGCCCAGCCGCTCGGGCCCTCGCTAACCTGGGTGATGTCCCGCCCTGGACCGACGGACGCCGCCCCCACCCCATTTGTCTCTAACGGAACGAACTGTCACCCTCAAGTTCACGTGACACGATGGTCCTCTCACTTCTGAAATGTGGGCAACCCACGCCCTCGTCTTTATGCAAATCTGTCCCCACTCGTGTTCACCCAGCCCTTCACAAATACTCGCGGGGGCCTGCTTTGTGTGAGTCACTGCGCTAAGTGCTGGGGGCTCGGCAGGGACACACAGGCCCTGCCCTCAAGGGGCAGGCAGTCTGTGCAATCCTGAGCTGGCTGCTCCCAAGAATAGCCCTACAGCCTCTTTCTCAAAATGTCGTCAGTGCTAGGACCACCCGACCACGATCCCGAGACGCCGGGTGGTTAAGGACAGTGACGCTATTGACGTTTGGGCCCAGGCAATTCTTCATCGAGAAGGCCGTCCCATGCTTTGTTTGGTAGTATCCCTGGCTTCTGCCCCCCAGACACCAGCAGCACCCCCCTAAGTTGTAAGAATCAAAAACACCTCCAAGCGTTGCCAGATGTCCCCTCAGTGCGGGGCAGGGGAACTGTGCCTGGTTGGGAACAGCTGATACAGAGATTCTTGGCCCCGCCCCACCCCTGGACCACCCCACCCGATGCCTCCAGCTGTCTGGATGAGGTGCCAGAAATAAGACTTTGGGTGATTCCCCGCCCGGCCTCCCCCGGCACAGGGGAGGCAATGCCCGTTGAAATTTTAGAATCACCGCCTGGAGCCTTACAATGCTCTGCGATGTCTTAGAAATGTTTTTGGAGGGCCAAGTTATTTGTCAATATGTTTTCCTGGCTAAGATACTTTCTGAGAATTTGTAGTCTCGACAGTTGGCATTTATGGTAATTGTCTAGAGACCGCGGTTTGTCCTTTCTGAATACATACACGTATACACATACATATATATGTGTGCAGGTGTGTATACTTACATATAGATATACACACGCTTCATTCTACTGAATACAATGAATTCTCAGTGTCTAAAACCTCCCTGACAGGCACTTACAATCAGGATTATAAAAACTTAGCATATTATCCACTGCAGTGAGGCTGTAACTTCCCGAGGTCAGGGGATATCGCATTGCCTTCACATTTTTTTTCCCATCTTCCCTCCTGGAATGCTGTTTGGCCCTCCAACCTTGCCCTTCACGCGCGATGGTTTCTCCGGGACGTCCTACTTACGGGAGGTTGAGCACTGTCTCAGATTACCAACGGCCGTGACATATGCCGATCCCAAATATTCTTCATACGTCGTTTTGCCTTGGAGTTTGGCCAGGCACTCGGTGTTGTCATTGAACAGGAGGTTTTTGGTTTTGGACCGGAACAGGCAAAACTCACTCGGGCATTTGTCTCCGTTTGTTCCAAACTGAGTCTGTACCAAAAGGGCAGACAAGTAAGTGAGTCGCCGAGGGAAACAGGAGAACGTGTGGACCAGGAGAGGCCAAGGACATTCCTTCCAGCCAGGCTCAGCCCTGAGTTCTGGAGCTGAGTTCTGGAGTCCTTCCACTGCCTCACCTGAGCCTCCTGCCACCCCCGTGTCATCCCGCAGCCCATGCCCCAGGTGGCCGACCCACCGGGCAGGGCCTGGGCCCCCCCACTACCTCTGACCCACCTCCCACCATCGTCCCCTCCTTGTTAATCTGTGGTCTCTTCCCTTAGAACCTCTGGGTGGCCAGGTGACAGCTGAGGATTTCCGAGATCACCTACGGCATTCCCACAGGCCAGCTTTCCTGGAGAAACTGTCTGCATCAGAAATCTTCTCTGCCACTGAGCAGGTCATTGCCTTGGGCAGGCTGCTCAGCCTCCCGTGGCCATAGATCCTCCTCTATGCTCAGGAGTCAGAGCAAAACACCTTGATGATTAAAGACCTCTTATCAGCCCCAGTGAGTGTGCCAACAGTGAGATTACCGCGCCTTTTATTACGAGGCCGGGGTACTGTCTTTAAAGCACACTTAAGACGCATGGGGTTTTAATACAAAACTAGAAGCTCTAAAAGAGAATCCCAGGGGCGCCTGGGTGGCTCAGTCGGTTAAGCATCCAACTTCAGCCCAGATCGTGATCTCACGGTTCGTGGGTTCGAGCCCTGCGTCGGGCTCTGTGCTGTCAGCTCGGAGCCCGGAGCCTGCTTCGGATTCTGGGTCTCCCTCTCTCTCTGCCCCTCCCCGCTCATGCTCTGTCTCTGTCTCTCTCTCTCTCTCCAAAATAAACAAACATTACAAAATATTTTTAAAAAACAAAAGAGAATCCCAGACTTTAAGGAAATTGCAAAAACCACTTTCCACAGACAGCCTTCAATCTATGGGAGTTCTGGGTCTGTTGTTGTCCTTCGAGATTACAAAGGCGGATGCCTCTGCTGTTCTCACGGAGACTCCGGGCAGCTCCTCAGCATGAAGCCAACACATGAAGCCACCGGCGCCAGGCAGAGGGACAAGACAGAAGGGCCGTGGGTAGGCGGCTTTACCTACAACCGCCCCGCCCCCCCAAGAGCCCGGCCAGTTAAGAAAGGGCCGGAGGCCCTGGGGATCCGCACCTGCTCTTGGAGCAGCACCTGCTCCAGGTGTTTCGCCTTATCTTCCCGAGACACCACGCCGTGGTTCGGAGCCCTGGCCAGGTGGCACCTCTCCGCCTCCTTCACAGGCTTCCGGGTGCCGTCCAGGCACAGCAGCTCAAAGTCCTCCAGCCTCAAATCCTTAGCCCATGCCTCAGAGCTCCCTCCTGGGGAAAGAAAAAGAAGTGGCATCAGCCCCGGCTGTCCAGCTTAGTCAAAGGTCCGCCCTGGGTGGGCTGGACGAGTCCACCGGCCTCTTGAAACGCACACAGGCGGGTCTCAGTGACTCGAGAGAGAGGGAAGGAAGCTTTGTTGGCACCGACGATACGAACTTCCAACATATCAAACGTTAAGGCTGCTTCCGTTCAAGGGAATTAGGAGTCAACAACCAAAGAGAGGGAATCATTGACACGTTCTACAACGTGGATGGGCCTTGAAAACACGATGCCAAGTGAAAGAAGCCAGTCTCAGAAGGCCACATGGTTCCATTTGTGTGAAATGTCCAGAGCAGACCAATCTACAGAGACAGAAAGCGAGCTGAAGGTTGCCAGCTCTGGAGGAGAGGGGAAGGGCACAGGGTCACTTTATGGGCTTGTGTGAGTATTCTAGAATCGGACTGTGTGGGTGGGTCACACAGCTCCATGAATGTGCTGGAGACCACTGAATCGCACAATTTGAACGGACGGATTTCGTGGCATGAATTATCTCTTAATAGAGCTGTTGATTGTTTAAAAAGAAAACCTGGGGCGCCTGGGTGGCCCAGTCGGTTAAGCGTCCGACTTCAGCCAGGTCACGATCTCACGGTCCGTGAGTTTGAGCCCCGCGTCGGGCTCTGGGCTGATGGCTCAGAGCCTGGAGCCTGTTTCCGATTCTGTGTCTCCCTCTCTCTCTGCCCCTCCCCCGTTCATGCTCTGTCTCTGTCTGTCCCAAAAATAAATAAACGTTGAAAAAAAAAATTTTTTTTTAAAAAAATAAAAAGAAAAAGAAAACCTTCCATCTATGCCATATTTTCTAGTGAGCTCCAGAAAAAGAACCATCTGGTTTATGTCCAAGAAGAAATTGCTTTCTCCTTCCTTTCGTGTTCGAATGGTCTTACTGTCACTAGGAAAAGGTGAGGAACCTCTATACATTTCTCAAATATGTTCAGTCAATTCCAATAAAACGCAGTTGTGAAATCCCAAAGAAATTGACAGACAATTAAATCTGACATCACTCTAGGGGATCAAGAGTCCCCTGATTGGGAGGAGCACTGAGAAGTATACAGAAGTGTTGAATCCCTATACTGTGTATCTGAAACTGTTATCACACTGGATGTTAATTATCCTTCAGTATAAAAAAAAAAGCTGACATCAGTCTGATCCTTGGACATCACTTAGAGTGACGGTTCACAAATTCAAAATGTAATTGTATGCGTGTCTGAGTGTGTGCAAATACAGGTTCATTGCTCAGACCCCTGCGTCTCTCTTTCCGCTCTCTCCCCTCAAAAAAAGGGGAGCCTGGGTGACTCAGTCAGTTGAGCATGGGACTCTTGATTTTGGCTCGGGTCATGATCCCAGGGTCATGGGATCGAGCCCTGCGTCAGTCTCTGTGCTGAGTATGTAGCCTGTTTATGAGGCCCTCTCTCTCTCTTTCTCTCTCTGCCCCTCTGAGGAGGGAAGAGGGGCTGTGAGTGCCAATGTTTGAAGGACAGAGGCAGGAAGTCCAGGTGGCTCTTCCTCAGGGGATGAAGTGGCAAGTTATCTGCTGGGGGCCGTGGGGGCCGAGTGGGGCTGCAGTTCGGAAGGCAGCCGGATGTATGGGTGCAGAAGTTGGCAATTATCACCATTCATCTTCCATCATCTGTATCTGCCTGTGACTTTGTCTCCAGTGACTCCCAAGGAGTTTCCAGACTGAGGGCTCCCATGAGGTCCCAATGAAAGCCGTTATTTCCTTTTTTAAAAAGGGAAGTTTGGGGGCGCCTGGGTGGCGCAGTCGGTTAAGCGTCCGACTTCAGCCAGGTCACGATCTCGCAGTCCGGGAGTTCGAGCCCCGCGTCAGGCTCTGGGCTGATGGCTCAGAGCCTGGAGCCTGTTTCCGATTCTGTGTCTCCCTCTCTCTCTGCCCCTCCCCCGTTCATGCTCTGTCTCTCTCTGTCCCAAAAATAAATAAACATTGAAAA